AAATTTCTCATGAAAGACAGATGGCAATAGACATCGTAATCTCTGCTAGGACATGTCAAAAGCTTACTCGAACCTTTAATTTAAAATACAATAGTACTAATAGCAGATTTTTCTCACTCCTTCTTATAGGCAACATTTTACAGCCTGCCACTCGCATTTATAAAAGTTTTGAATATGATGATTGGTGAAATGGATTACGATGGTACATGGTTTGATAATATTAAATCTGGAGAAATTGTGATGCCAGAAAGTGTGGTCTCATTGCTTATGATTGGAGTCTTCATTTTTATTATGCCAGTGATCGTTATGAATTTAATGGTACATAAGCTAACTTACGCGTGAAGAAAATCTCTATTATTTTTTTTCAAAACTGCCTACTATTTATTGCTATCGAAATAACACCATAATCTGATAGTTTCAATTTTTGGATTGTACGTTAATTAGGTTGGTCTAGCTGTCGGTGATATTGATAAAGTTAGGCGTGAAGCAGATTTGAGAATGTTATCATCACGCCTGGAATACTTAGATAATTTAGAAAGAACTTTTCCATTCAGGTTTAAACATTACTTCTATATCGGATTTCAAACTGAATATATCACCAAAGATTTGGAAAATGTAAGGCGAACTTAAAAAGAATTCTTTGTTAGCTTATGTCCGCCAAACTTTTTGGTATACCCATGCAATTTTAGAAGATATTTATAATTTCTTTAAATTTTATCATTAATTACTTACTCATTTGCTGAAATTTCAGATGAGTGATGAAGAATTCAACTCCAGTTGGAAAGATAGCGGAATTTTAGACACTACTAAGGATCATGAAGACCCTAAGAAAGAGAAAGACAAATTAACAGTAGTCTCTGATCAATTGAAAGATCAGGAACAAAGGTATCGTCAACTAGATAATTCCATTCAAGTACAATTTGTAAGATCTTAATTATGTTTTGAAATGTGCATATTCTGAAAAGTAAAATTTGCAAATGGGACTTTAATAGTACAAAATAATTTTTAATTTCTGGTTTTCTATCCAAAAATTATGCATGAACAAATTCGTTAAATATTCGTATGATCATATGTAGTGCCATCCATTCCATTTTATATTTGAAACTGCAAGTCTACCCACCATAATTACTATCATAAATACTACTGTAATATAATTATCATACTTAAACAAGTACAATTTCATAAACATTTTTAAGTATGACATTTAAAGTCTTTCATAAAGAATTCTATAATTTGTTCATCTAAAACTGCATATAGTACTACACCTAAAAGTTACTTCAGCTAACATCTATCACTTCTTTCAAGTAGTATACATTAGGTTTAAGTAAAACGGTATATTGCCCTAGAATTCGTTAGTATAGTTAGTTTTCAGGCTAAAATTAGCCAGTATATAATAAATTTTTTAGAATCTCGGATTACCAAGCTAGGGATACAAAATGTGATATATTCTTTTGCATAAGTTTACTTGAGGTTAATTCAAATAGTCATAATAATAGTGTTTTTGAGTTTAATTTGGTATAAAGATTGGTTGACATTGTAGATATAAGATTATTAAGAATATTGTTGTTAATTGAAAACCATGCGTTAATAACCATCTAAAAACTTTGATTTAAGAATTGATAGCCTTACTAAGAATATAAGCATTCTATCGGATCGTATGAATGCCCTCCATGAAACAGTAGGAAAGCAATTTGAAAGTTTGCAAGATGAAATTAAGAAAATGGTACAGTCAAATAGTCTGCATTCACTTCCGAGAGTTGAATGAAACTGATATTTTAGCCATAAATTTGGTGAATGAATCTAAAGTTGATTTAACTTTACATTCTCAGTAAGTTTCTGGAACTTTTCCTTATTTATTTCTATTATCATGAGATTGTGTTTTAACATCAAGTCTGCTATGTATTCTTACAGTTAGTAAATTTCCAAAGTTTTTCGATGCGCCAGTGCTTTTTCTATTTATTACAACTATCAATTGATATACCTAGGAACGGTCTATTGAAGAATAATAAACAAAAAATTTGCATTAGTAATTAAAGTCTAGCCATTTAAATCAGTCGGACCGTAATCTTATCTTTCTGAAATAATGTCATTAGGGTTACAGTTTTGATAAATATAAAATTTTAAACGTTTCGGTCTCACTGATTAGACTGATCATTATAAGTATTATTAAACCAAACTTTCGAAATGTCATCTTTACAATAAAACAGAGCTCTAGTTTATCCTGAAATAACTTTGATTAAATATTCTTCGTGTGTGATTTCAATTTCTAGCATTTTTTGTAATAAAAATTATACCACAACATACTGTTTTACTCTGCTCGACTAAAAGCAACTAAACAATTGCAGACTATGAATTGCACATACAATACATATTGATGGATAGGTTAATACGATATTTACAAGCATTTCGGTCATAAATCAAATCTAAATCAGATTAAAATCTACCTACAGTGCAACTCAAAATACTGACTATCTTCGTATTATCAGAAATTAATGAGATCGTAGCTGCTTATTTCTTCACAATTAAAGCCGTCGAACAGTAATCGTGCCCGTACTAACAGTAGTTAAACAGTATTGTATTGTAGAAATACATCATTATCTATTGAAAAATATGTAAGACGTCAAGTAAAGTTATTATCAGAACGTTACTACTTAAGCTATCTTATGAAAAGTATTTACGGTTATTATGCCCAAGTTATTCCGCATAATATACTACATACGTACATCACGTGTGTGTAATATGAGGTGGTAACATGATAACTAAATGGACGGATGATTACTAATATCCATACAGGTAAGGATAATTCATTAGTTCTTTCATGAGTTACTAGCTCGAAATAAATGCTTATTAGTAATGGCAAATAGTGTTGATAGATTTATGTTATACGAACTCTTTTGAATAGTGTATCAGCTGTGATCGATAGCAATCGATAAGCCTTTAGTAAATGATATCTAGGATGTGTACAACGTATCAAAGTCATGACCACAATCACATGTTCCTTTATTTTGTCTAATCAAATAATTACATGTAAATTATCATTATGAACAGTTGTTAGCAAAATAGATTATCCATTTTATGCTGCGATATCAAGACTATTTTTGTAAACCATTTTAACTCTATCACCAACATCACAACAAGATCTTGCGCTTTTATTCATTACCATTACTTTACATAATTGATAAGTTCTATTAATTAATCGTCAACTATGTCACTAGCTAGCCTACCGCCATGGAACAGAAGCAGAGTCCATACGATCAATGGTCGAGATTGTAAATTGATACAAATTTAAAATCCGCCGGAAATACACGAGCTATCTAGACGAAATGCAGATGAAGCAGTAATCGTGATCTTTTTTGAATAAATATTGACGTAAGTAATGTCCTGCATGAAGCGCTTCGAATAAGTCACAAAATGAATAAAACTTCTGAAACTTTTACAGTATTCTTAATGTTTCAATAATTAAACATATAGGCTACTAAATCAGGCGATGAAGATATCCTTGATCGATATTTTAATCATTATAAGAGCAGTAATGGTTTCAATCGCGATGTACTCGATCAATACGAAATATCCGCCCTTCATTACGTAGCTAAATATAATCGCGATAACACTGTTAAGAAAGTACTCAATTATGGAGCAGGTATGGAGTTTAATTTATGAATTACTTTGCTTTGTTGCTTTTTTTCAACTAATTTTTATGACTGATAAAACGATAAATTTAACTGATCGATTTTTTGGCCGAATTGGTTAACATTACAATATCTCTAAGTACTGTATTTCGACTAGAGACATAATAAAAAATGTGATATTTGTCCAACTTTATATATGTTTATGTCGTGTACCGTATGGACAATCGGCCATTTTGCAAAATGATCGATTATATATTATCTACACGGTAAACGACAAAGCCTGTCACTAGTGTGTATATCATGTTATGTACATGAAAACTCAGGCCGCCTTTTTGCATTTAGCGATTAATAATTTTTACTAATAATATTATGATCACAGGTGTAGTTGAAAGATTCTGCCTTACCATTGTAAAAATTTTAGAAAATAACATAAAACAACAAGAAATTATGGCAGTTGGCACAGGCATATTTGCATTAAATCACTAAGCATGAAAATTTAGGAATCGTCCAATATAATCTCATTCATTCTCATAGCTACATTAATGAATGTAGCAAGATAATCAGCCACTGAACCTATACTAGTGATTCCATCAAATGCAAAAACGGTGTCGATTTGACTAGGTAAACTTTAGTAACCATTATATATAATGACCTTTTTAGGAGAATTTATCGCTGTAATGTGCTATGTATGCAATTAAAATTATGATTGCAGTTCCATGTCTATGGCTAAAAATTGTTAATGTCGACTTTGTGATAGCGCATCGATACTATTGTTGGGAAATTAATATTTAGATTAATGGATAATATTTATGAATTTTACCGCTATCGGTAAAATAATAAGATATAAAAGTTGTTTTGTGATCTCATTCAGAAATGAAATCCAATGCTAGTAATAATGGCTTCGCCTTGTATTTAAAGAATATTTAAAGATTATTCTAAAATATGCGTACTCTAGCTGTGTTATAGATCATTTCTATTTTTGTAATATAAAGTTGTTATCAATTATAATATAATAGAGGTTGTAATCTATATCTATTTACACCCCTAATTTAACTTAAAGTGCATCAGTAGGTAATATGGTAACTGGCCGTTGTTTACGACAGTAATAATGAAATTAAGCAATAGACTGACAATTATCAAAATTACGACAACAATACTAAAGCAAATAAATCTTGATTACGTCAGAAGCCTAAACTGTTCTTCATATAGTTATTAGGAAGGTCTCCTTTTTACATAAGGTTAAATTAATTGGGTTACGTATTATTTTTAGAAACAAATGTTACATTATTAGGTTACATGAAATGTATAATTTATAAACCTATAGTATAATCTGAAAGTTACTTGTATGCTGCGATACAGGAAGGACCAACTATGTCTTTAGCAAATTTAAGGTTTTGGGGTAAAAATAAGGTGGCTTTCGCTAACTTGCCAAACAATAAGGAAATACCGTTAGAAATTCGTGGCTCTATTATTAGTGATGCTAAATTTAATCCAGATGAAAACAGCACCAGAGATCTTTTTTGGGTAAGGGCAATGAGTCTGATAGAAATACAGCATACTAAATTAATGTTTATCGCCATAACTAGAGCTTGTATCGCAATATATAAATCGATTCCCTGTTAAATTATTTATAAAAGCTCTGATTTAATAAGAATGCCTTCAATTAGGCTGCTAAATCTGGGGATATCGATATTCTTGAAGATTATTTGTCTGACAGTGATATAGTGCACGATAAATTCGAATGTAATCGCTTGGATCGCCATAAACTTTCGCCACTTCATTATGCTGCCAAGTATAATCGAATCGATGTCGTGAAGTATTTACTACGCTATGGAGCAGGTATATTTTGTTTTATTTCCGTTGTATACGAAATTTCATGAAAATAATAAATTATTAATTCGGTTACCATGAATAAAAATAAATAGTACAAGGTACGGTGGCGAAATAATCGAAAGACGTATTCTTAACATTTTCACTTAAGTTTGTCAACATTAGAGGTAGTTACCTCCTGCTTGATAATGTCACATAGAATCAAGAAGGAAACATGGCTAGAAGTTTAAAAACAATAAGTTTACCTTTAAATTAGCATTTTCTGTCGCTATATTCCTTGAACTATTTAAGAAACTGACAGAAATATTATCAAAGAATACAATTTAGTTATTAATAGCGAAGGAAAAATAACATTATATAACTATAAAAACTTGAGTTTCAAGCTTGCTAGATATCAAATCCTTGAATTCAGTCTAAAGATCAATTATATTATGATGTATAGACTATGGTAGAATGCTTAAATTATGAAGTTCAGATTAAAAAATAGCAGTAGAAATACTTATCTCACATAAATATTTATTGAGAAAATTTGAATGTATTGGTCTCGCTTTAAATCCATTAATTATAAAATTTCAAGAATTACTAATGTATTCACTAAGATTTTTTAAGATTTATTGATTTTTTGATAACGAAACAATTCGCTTTTAGCATAAAATTGTCATTTACTTTCAAAGCCGACGTATAATTTCTCACCAATCGTCTAAGATACGCGGTGATTAGAATTTTTTCTTAGTTCGAAGACGATCATTTTAGGAGAAAGTGCTCCCGTAATGTCCTTAAATACAGCCAAACAAATATTTTTCGATTTTCACTGATCAATTTCTCTTAAGTTTTATCAGGTTCAACAGTAATATTATTTCTCACTGTTCTTTCAAGTTCTACACTTGATAAGTCAGTTTCTTTCTGGTTCTACTACAATTATTACTTCATTATATATTTTTAATTTAATTGTAGATATTGATTGCATCGGTGGAGATGGAGTAACACCGTTGCTAATAGCTGCGAAGCATAACTCTGTAGATGCATTGAAGGTTTTAATTACTCTGAATGGATCGACAACATTATCTAATTGTAATGGCGAATCTCCACTTCATGTTGCAAGTCGATTGGGGCATATTGAAGCCTGCAAAGTAAGCATAGCGAACGGAGTAACGTAAAGCTAGGCCAGAAACATAATTGAAATTGTGACTTGTAAACAACAAAAATATTCCGGGGTTAAGCGTAATGTTTATTTGTCATTTAATTATTTTAGGCACTGCTTGAAGTAAGCCCAATACTTGTTAACCGTGTTGATCATGATAAAATGACTGCTTTGCACATAGCCTGCGTTAAAGCTAAGAAAGAAGTCTGCGCTTGTTTGGCAAGTTGATTTTAACTGTAAAATAAAATTTTATAAACGTAATTAATGTAATTTTAATTAAATCTACTACCGTACACAATTTCTAACAAGTAAATACTTGTAAGATAACGTATAAAGATATTTTAATGCAATGTAAGCCATTTTTCTGAATGGGTGCAAAACTTTCACTTAAAGTACAAAATATATATAGGAAGAATATAACAGGTCGTTTTTGATGTGTTGTATATTTGGTTATTTTGAAGTAGAACAAAATTAGTCATTTTAAAAAATCTGAATATAACAATATAGTGCGATTATAATGGATTCATTTTGATTTGCTCGATTTAGCTTGAACATGGTGCCGATATAAACCTAAAAGCAGTTGATGGTAGCCTACCAATACATTACGCTGCCGATAAAGGCTCGACTGAAATTATTTCTATGCTATTAGAGCATTCATCTTCGAGTTTTTCTACTTTTGATCAAATTGAGGCCCGCGATAACGAAAAGCAGACTCCATTACATCGTGCCGCTCAAAGAGGTTATAAAAGCGTAAGTGGTTGTAGTAAATACAGATTTAACCCGTTAAAAAATTAAGAATTACGTGTTTTACGCTAACTTTTGATTTTTTTTCTTTTACTATCCTCCAGGCCATCAAGTTATGCTTAGAATTCAATAGTGATATTAGCGCTGTTCAGGTAATTTTAATAAAAAAGATATTTTAACCGTACGCTTTAGTGCTAATTCTTTCAATAATTAATGTTTAAAGTAGAAATCGAAATAAGTAACAGAAAATAAAATCAGTAATTGAAACAATTTACCAAATTCTGGCACACTATATTATATTGAACAGAAACAAGGACAGACTCCACTCCACCTTGCTGTTATTTCTGGCCAACGCAGTGCTGTTGAGCTGTTAATTGCGAGTAATGTAGATATCGAATGTCGTGATTATCGCTATAAAACTCCACTCCATCTTGCTTCGTGTTATGGTCATAAAAAAATTATTCAATTATTACTGAAAAATGTAAGAACGCTTGCGTGACTTCTTTGACTATTTTGAGTGTATTGGATGAAATTATATTATCCATGCTGTTAATAGGGTGCAAACATTGATAGTGTCGATGGTAGACACAAAACTGCCTTGCTTCTTGCAATAGAAAATGGCAAATCAGAGATAGTAAAATTTCTGCTCGACCAGGGAGCCAGTTGTATGATCATGGACGATAAGAACCAGTCTTGCTTACATATCGCCGCGAATTTCGATCGTTTAGAAATTCTAAAAGATTTACTAAATGTAAGATAGATGGTCAGATATTTACTAAATTATTTAATAAAATGTTACACAATATATGAATATTGCATGATGACTGGATTACTTAGAGAGGAGCGCAAGCATTAATAAATGAACCAGATACTCATGGAAGAACTGCTTTTCATTATGCAGCTGAAAATGGCCATTATAATGTATAACTTATACTGTTTGTACATATGAGATTAATTCTTCTTCTTATTCGAATTAAGGTACAATATACTTAGTACAGTTTTATTTAATGTTAATTTCGAAAAGGTTGTTTCTTTGCTTGCTGAAAATGGCAGCAATATTGATAGCATCGATGAAGATGATAATACTTCTCTCCATCTCGCGTGCAAGTAAGTGAGTTTTTGCTACAATTTAAAGTTGTATGGATATAAATTTCCCTGAAATATTACGGAAACTAATTGCATTCTGATGTGAAAGCATAATAGGCTTTAAATTTCTTAGCCATAGAATTAGATAATTCGTTAATTAAAGTAATCAATAATTATCGGTGTTGTTTAATAGTATAATCATGTTCAATTCACATCTCACTCTAAATACCTACTGGATTTTTGTTAAACATAATTTACCTTTCGTATACACTTTTACTTAAACGAATTTTACCCTTATGTTATTGTCAGTTAAGATGTAATAGATATAACTAACTGTTTTTATCTTCACATACAATCTTTTAATTGAAATATTTCAGTCCTAAAATAGAAAGAGTGCTAAGTGAGAAATTCATTGGTCTTGCAGCTTCGATATTAAAATTATCTATCTGCTCTAACCCCGTATATTTTTTGATTCAGAACTGAAAATCAACCAATCATACAATTTATTTGTCGACGGGCGCCGCCACTAATAAATCATTTGGGAGATAAATCTCGTACACCTTTACATGTTGCTGTAGTCGGCGGCCATAAACAAACTGTACAATTTTGCTTGAAAAATGGAGCCGATGCCGAAAGACGGTAAAGTTATACTGAAATCTATTATTGCTATAATCTACATTATTTTCTTATAATAAGTTAGAGCCATGGAATGTTATCATAAAGTTGGAAATATAACCTAAATTAAAGTTTACAGTTCAGTTTTTGCGTTAATTTCGTAAATTACCCGTTCAAATGAACGAGTATAAAACCCGGATTGAGCCATTAGTGCAATATAATTTGGAGTACACCGGAGAGGCAGATTAATTTAATAGCAATACGTTAAAGCCAAAATACCGTACTTGACAGCAAATATACACATACAGTGTTAAATTAAAGTACGGTACGCGTGCATATAATCTAACGTAGTATTCAAGCTGCGGTTTATTGATTTTTGTACTATTTAGAGATTGCAGTTACATGACGCCTCTAGAAATTGCAGTTAACGCTGGCTATATTAAAATTGTACAGGTATTATTAAAACATGGTGTTTCCATCAACACTCCAAATGCCAATGCTGTAAGTATTACACTCTATATAGTGCATATGTGTATAAACTTGAACTATCCGAATTATATATCAGAGAACAATTTAATATGTAAATTTGAGATTACTATGTGTTCTAGGTGTTTCATAAACTTATATTTTTTTCACGTCTATTCCAATAAACCAAGCAATCGCTATTGCACGTAGCTGCAGCCAAAGGATATAATGGTATTGTTATCGAGCTGCTAAGACATGGTGCCAAAATAGATAGTCTTGACGAAGAAAATTACAGTTGTTTAGATGTTGCTGTAATAAACTGCCAGGAGAGTGTGGCAATTACGCTAATTAACCATAATCAGTAGGTTAAAATACAAAGTATTGATCTATAAAGAAGTTTTTGAAAGATGATTATGTGCTACAGACATATTTTACTATGAATCTGTAGAAATAGAATTATCAATAGACTACGTCACTAGTTTCAATTATTTAGAACTATCCTTTTTCGATTCTAATCGTATCTGACTATCGAATTATCTTACTATATAAGCCATTATAAACGTTTAAACTTGTATAAATTTGCTTTGTTTCTTCCTAAAATCTCTCCTGAAATTAAATTACAATTTGATCCTCATTCCAGGGGCAAAGAATTATTAAAACGCGTTCATAAGGACGGCTTAACATGCATGCAGCATATGGTAGAAAAATTGCCAAACGCTGCCAAAGTAAGAAAATGTGGAAGCTAATACATTTGATAACGTCAGGTTCAGAGGGTTTAACAAGTGAATTAGTAAATAAAGCTACAGAATATCTGTGTCCTCTAGGTTGCAATGGATTCTTGTATAAGTTACCAATATCTATCTAATGAGACCATTATATCTAATTGTTCTGAATCTTCTCAGGTACGACTTGCTCCATATCGTGTGATATGATACGTTTCGTACGTGTAGACATAATATCAAATTTGCTATCATAATTCTAGATCAAAGAAATCTTTTACGATTTTACGTTAATCGATCCAGGCCCAGAATTCGAATCTAGACAAAAAGTATCAAGCCGAAAAAATAGAAATAATGCCTTAATGGTAATTACAGGCTTACAGACTGTACATACTTTACAGTATTAAAATCTTGTTCAAAATACAAATTTAAAAAATAATTTAGCTTAATTATGAAGACCTGATGCTTTAAATACTTTAAGACGTATGATATACGCATAAATGAAGATAATTTAATCTATACCATCATTTCAAGGTGCATTTGCACCGTGACAGGATACTATGTTATATTGCAATTGAGGACAAAGGAAGTTTAACTACATGAAATTATGAGTCCTATTTACTGAATATACATATTTTAGAGTTAATGAAAATTACAATATTGCTGTGAGAGTATTCATATTAGCTTTACATCGCGAATACATTACGAACAGATGCCGTGTAAAGGAAAATATAGATTTCAACGAATAATCGCACGTTTAGTTTAATAACATTTACGGCTATAATAATCTGTGTAGAAATTAAATTAAATATTTATTGAATTGATGATATAAAGCTAAAGATAAAACTATGCACTGGTTACTTGATATTGTTATTTATTGATGATCAGTATTAGTAATCATGGCTATTAGATTCGCCATATATATTTTTAGAGAAAGTCTTATAACTTTAGAAGTGTTGAGTTATTTAAGCAACTATATGATTCCTTTCTTGTAATCACTACATTAAATTATCAATACTGGTATTCTTAGACAATGGTGAAGAGCAAACAAATTGATCTACTAAATCATGAGCTAGCAATTCAACTACGCAACTTCAAATGGTATTACCAACTAGTTACAATTAATTGCTAATTCCTATCTATAAAGAAAATGCCATGAACCTAACACGTAAATACTTTCCTGGTATAATTTTCATTGCTTTAGGAAAAAATACGGCCAATATTTATATTATTTCAACCTACTGCTTTACATAATTTTCCTGGTAGCTCTTACAACCTATGTTATCATCCTTCAAGACAGTAAGGTATTCAATGATACAACTAGGAAACCCATAATTGGTTTAAGATTATATCCTGTGGGTCTAGAGCCAACAGCTGTAACTCCGACAGCTAATAAAGGAATAAGAGCAGCGAGAGCAAGTACAGCTCTACCATACTTCAACCAAAGCATAGGCAGTAGACAGCATATGAGTGGTTCTAACATGCTAGAGAAGCAATCAGATGAACTATCTAATGATTTTCAGTCTGCGGCTATTGAAGTCGAAAATCAAACTCAAGGCAACAATTCTGATCTTAAGAATACCACAACATCTACGCCTA